TTGTCTTGAAAACGTATAAAGCAAATATATTTGATACATCATCTCGCTTCATATTCTATTAGTTTTATATATTTAGGCTACAGGTTGATATAATAACATAATAAACTCACAGTACTAAAAAAATGAAATATATGGGTCAAGTGAAATATCTTTCTAATGAGTCAAAACAACAGAGTTGGTGTGTTTGAATAACAATTTTTTACTGTGAATGAAATGTTTTTGTGCTTTGGAAAATTCCTCCTGACAACAGATCAGACAGTAGTTTTAAGATTACTAAAACCGATACGTACATTTAACGATGCTTAATAGCTATTAGATACATTTGTCTTTCAAAATACAACTGGCATATAAGGATCGTAATGATGCTATGTGGATAAATTTATCGTTTTCAAGAGCTAAATTGACAGCGCGTCATCCCTACAATTGGTTGCGTAATGGGGAGAAAATGTTTGACGATGTATAATCCTGACTGTCCTAGTATCTGAGAAACAGACCGAACAATAATCAATGAACCTTGAAAATGAGATCGAGGTCAGTTGAACCTAGACAGACGGACCTGTACACCTTACAATCGAAATACAGTTGACATATTGCTCATAGTATCAGAGAAACGAACGAAAACGTAACGTTGGTCGCTGACAATATTAAAGATTAAACGAGGTCCAATTTATGTGAACATTGTAGGAGGAACTGTAGACCTTGCAATTATTTCATATACCAAACTATAGCTATCCTATTACTCATAATTAGTGAACAAAAATGTAAAAACCATATAGTACTTAGCAGTCCCTGAACCATGAAATGAGACCAAGGACAACAGACATAAGCCTAAAACATAATTTCATACATAAGGCATCTGATGATCTGTATAAAAGTAATGAAGTATCGCAGTTTTGCACCTTCAGTAGTATATAGCTATATACAAATACCAACCATTTTTGCCATACCCCCTCCCAGATGAGCACCCTTCGCCTTTCATCCTGACACAATTGTTGCAGATGAGACAACAATCAGTTGGAAAAGGCTTACTTTACCTATCCGATTAGTTCTTAGCACAAAAACACTAACAAAACACACAAAGTACCAAATTTCATTGAAAGCGTTCAAAGTACTATTTCAACTAATAAATAAACCCGTTTGTTGGTGTGGTTCTTAAGTGTGGTTCTCGTTTTTTAGGGTACACGACAAATCGTACCTTCGCCAACTCATACTCAACCAGCTCGTACCCTTTTTTTACCAACTCGTACCAAATATTTTATTATTATTTATATACATTATAGTTGTTATTTTTTTTTCATATGTCATGATAATATAGAAACGTAAATGATATAAATATGTCAATGATGTGTTAGAAGTATGTGAGAAGGGTACTAGAAGTTGATTTATAAATAATATCAGTATATATACGTAGTGTCAAGGATAGTTATACGTCCTTGGTAGTGTATATTTTCTTCTTGTCATTTTTACATGGTGCTACTTTTTTTTCTATTTTGACACAAATCTTATCAGTTGATGTATTATATGTTAATGACGTTTTGAATTGAATTGGAGCAAAAATGTATTTTTTTCCCGAAAACTTCAATTGTTACTGACCAGAATGCGCTGCACTCTGCCGGGTGAACTAAAAAGGAGTGATTAACTGAAGAAGAAAATATACACTACGTATATATACTGATATAATTTATAATTCAACTTCTAGTACCCTTCTCTTATAGTATTGATTTGTTTTAAAGGATTCCATGCTTTCTACCTTTTTTTGTGTTGACGGAACTCTTGAGCATAACGAAATTTTAATGAGATTGATCTAACACATCATTGAAATATTCACATCATTTACGTTTCTATATTATCATGTCAGATATGATGATGTATAAAAGAAAAATAACAACTTTAATGTATATAATTAATAATAAAATATTGAGTACGAGTTGGTAAAAATAGGGTACGAGTTGAGATGTATCCGTTTTTTTATGTAGATTAGACCGTTGGTTTTCCTGTTTGAATTGTTTTACATTAGTCATTTTGGGGCCCTTTATATCTTGCTGTTCGGTGTGAGCCAAGGCTCCGTGTTGAAGGCCGTACTTTGACCTATAATTGTTTACTTTTTACACATTGTGACTTGGATGGAGAGTTGTCTCATTGGCACCAGGGACTTTAGTATAGACTGTCCCTGTTGGCACTCATACCCCATCTTCTTTTTTCTACATATTATCCAAGACTAAAATTTCAATCAGTACACCTCCATTTGTTGTAACAATGTTATTATCAATGACTGTTCATTATGAATGATGAAAAGGTTACAAATACCCTTTAATTACAGGCTGTGTCTAGATAATAATTGAACACATTCTATATATAAAATTGAGAATGGAAATGGGGAATGTGTCAAAGAGACAACAACCCGACTACAGAGCAGAAAACAGCCGAAGTCCACCAATGGGTCTTCAACACAGCGAGAAAATCCCGCACCCGGAGGTGGGCTTCAGCTGGCCCCTAAACAAAATGTGTACTAGAATGAAAGTGGACGTCACACTAAACTCCAAAAACATATAAATGAACTAAAATTAAAAACATACAAGACTAACAAAGGCAAGAGGCTTCTGACTTGGGACAGGCGCAAAAATGAGGCGGGGTTAAACATGTTTTGTGAGATCTCAACCCTCCCCTATACCTCTAGCCAATGTAGATAAACTCATCATAGATACCAGGATTGAAATTTTGTATTTGCGCCAGACGTGCGTTTCGTCTACAAAAGACTCATCAGTGACGCTCGAATAAAAAAACGTTAAAAAGGCAAAATAAAGTTCGAAGTTGAAGAGCATTGAGGACCAAATATTCCTAATTTTTTTGACAAATACAGCTAAGGTAATCTATTCCTGAGGTAGAAAAGCCTTAGTATTTCAAAAATTCAAAGTTTTGTAAACAGTTAATTTATAATTATGATCATATCAATGATTATTCATGTCAACACAGAAGTGCTGACTACTGGGTTGGTGATACCCTCGGGGAATAGAACTCCACCAGCAGTGGCATTGACCCAGTGCTGGGAACAGTATATCTAACGTCAATATATATGTTCCTGCCCAGTGGTTGTAAATAAACTCACTATAGATACCAGGATTGAAATTTTTGTACTAGCGCCAGACGCGCGTTTCGTCTACAAAAGACTCATCAGTGACGCTAGAATAAACAAACAACAACAAAGCAATACGCACAGTAAAACTCAGTTTAAAAGAAGTCCGAGTCCGATGTCAGAATAGGTAACAAAAGAAACTAAGCAAAATGACAATGATACATAAATTAACAAAGGACTACTAGCAGTTACCGACATGCCAGCTCCAGACCTCAATTAAACTGATTGAAAGATTATGTCTTCATCATATGAAAATCAAGCACAATCCCTCCAGTTAGGCGTTTATTATCATACCATCATAAATAATATGAGAAGAACATAACCCGTATCATACCAACAACTGGTTTTAGAATAAATGTGTTTATTTCCGATGCAAAGACCCTATGAGTGAATCAATATTAATGCCAAAATATGCCATCTTTAATGACCTGACAACAGTATCGTAACTATATTCCTTCTGAATAAGTCTGTTTAAAGGTTTGGTTAGCTTTTGAGGTGAATGTTGACATTTTTGCGCTTTGTATAGAATATTACCATAAAAGGTTGGATGTGAAATAACTGAACGTATAAGATGTCTTCATGTTGATTTATATTTACGAATGATGTCCTTGTACCGATGATAAAATTTAGTAAATGTTTTGACTAGTTTGTGATATCGAAAACCCTGGTGTTATAATTTTTCAGTAATTCAGAGATTTCTTTCGTTGAAATCAAATACGTTGTTACATACACGAGCGAATCGAACAAGTTGAGATATATAAACACCATATTAAAATGTCACCATCTAAAAATGGATAATTAACAATAGGAAATGAAAAATCATGTCTTTTATCATAAATTTTGGTATTAAGCTTCCCATTAAAGATATAGATATCAAGATCCAGGAAAGGGCAGTGTTCATTGTTAGTATCAGCTTTATTTAAAGTCAGTTCAGCTATGTTCATACTATTCAACCACCACCAATACAAATATTTAAGTCTTGGTTCATTAAAATTAATATGTATGCAAAGATTAGTTTGGACTGATTATTCTTTTTGACAAATGCCAAATGACTACATAATCTAACAAAGCCCTGACCAATTAAGATATAAAAAAGTGAGTTATCAGCAGGTCCATTTTGGGTTACTCTCTAGGTCGCAGTACTTCTTTCTTCTTTAAAGAGGTTTGTCAGGCTGAACTTTGTATCAAGTTAGGTCAGTGATGTTTTATAGTCCCAATTATCTTGGATTATTAAAGATAAATCCATTTGACTCATTGCTGAATACAGAATATGTTCTTATATTCTATCCCTCATCAGTTTGGCTAATTAGTAATATTTGCCACAGGACAATTGATTATCAGGAACTATTCTCTCTATACATTATTAATTTCAGAACATATATATAATTGTTGCAGGGTCCTACACCATGTACACCTGAGTATAATTGTTGCAGGGTCCTCCACCTGAATATAATTGTAATAGAATCAATTTACAGATTTCCAAATACATGTATATTGGTTTCTTTTCATAATAAAATCCCATTCTTTCATTTCAGTTGTTATAAATTGAAACCATGAAATACTTAAATAAATATGGAAGGGTACTTCAACTCATCCAAAAGAGTTTAAAGATTGTTAATAGTCAATCCACAAATCAGTAATTGGTAAACAGGGTTTAAAAATGTAGGCAATGTAATGTAAAGCTTGACACTTTGTATATACACTTTTTTACTTAAATCATGTAAATAATGTACAATTTGTATGTAAATGTAAACATCTAGATGTCTTTTTTTTATTGGTGTTGGGTTGCTGTCTTATTGACATATATCCAACACCTCTTTTTATTCATATCATTAAATAAATTCTACAAACAGTATGGTACCAAGTTGTACACAAAGTATTTATTGGTTTAGTCACTGTTTGATTTTTTATGGCCTTAACACTCTCAACAGAATATGTTATTGGAGGCTTTTTCTTTGTATAATTGTTTAAAAACACATTTAGTTCAAGGATATCTGATGCAACATTTATATTTCTACCACACAATAAACAAATTAGATTTTGAGGGACTTGATAAGATTTTGAGGGACTTTATAAGATTTATTCACACGATGCCTATCACCTTGTCTCCTTCGTCTTGTACATAATCTTCCTCAAATCCTTCAGCACCTTCAGGTAAGTTTATTTTTAACAATGGTTTTTGAGGTAAGTTATTCCTTGCCTGGAGAATGACTCCCATCAAAGGAGGAAATGGTATAAGTTTAGGTACATATTTTGTCTCTTCAAATACATCTGTTATCTGACAGTATTCTGCTTCCTCCTCTTTTGGAATAAGTTTCCAGTCTTTTTGATGTGGTTTTTCAACTTTTTGAATTCCACATTTTTTTCCTCTAAATATGCGTTCTCCCCACACTTCACCTTTCAGTAAATTCTGAAAAAGATAAATGCTTAACCATTATTTAAAAATCTAAGAATCTGAAATTTTTTTAGTTATTGAATGTATTCTAACCATCATTACCCAATGTACATGTACAATATTATTGTCAATGTATGTATCTCATCAGCACAAAAATGAGGAATTTTTAGGAAAATCTCTAAAGCATTCATGATTGTTATTCCTAGAAAGTTTTTTTTAAAAAGTAATTTTTCATTCTTGTTTTAGAGAGGAGGAAACGCATTGACCATCAGAATAATAATTGATTCTGGTTGTCATGATTCTTAAAATAGTTTTATTCAAAAAGTTTTAGAAGATACATGTACATTGTGTCCTACAATATTCAATGTCATATAAAATGACCATTAGGATTTACAAATGTACCTACATGTATCATCAATGGTCAAAGGGAGATAAATGCAAATTGTCATTTATAGCAGAAATATAATGTTTAACAGGTTTAGAAATAAAATACTTCCTACTTATCATGCTTATACAGTAGATCTTTAGTTAAACCCATATCTGGTTAGCTGCCTCCATGTTGAACTTTAAAAATCAACATACTTGTCCATCTACTTGCATAGAAGATGGAATTCAAAGTTATGGGTACAATAAATGGACGGAACAACTGAGCTGTAACTAGACAGTAATAACAGAACATTCACTATAATAAATTGAATAACACATATCTGAGAGATTGTTACCCCTCGAATCGTTGTCAACCTTGCCTTCGCCTCAGTTGACAATGTTTTCTCGGTGAAACAATCTCAGTCTGTGCCAAACTCTTTTGGTTTCTGTCTAACATTAGGTCAGACAGTGTAAAATTGAGAATGGAAATGGGGTGTATGTAAAAGAGGCAACAACCCAACCAAAGAGCAGTGTAGTAGGTTTTGTCTAAATGAACAGATTTTTGTCTGTCCGAAACAAAATCAATTCATTCAGCTTATTGTGTTGTTTATGTTTTTAAATGTACTGTGCTGTTTTATGTTGATATTCATGGTAAAAATTGCATTTCTTTCAGGAAAGCAGTTGATAAACTTTATCATGATTGCTTTTTGTCATGATTGCTTCCTTCATCAGTCATGTTACGTTACAAGGGCTTACCGCCATTACCGGGGATAGCCCTTGAAAATACTTCAGAGTAAACATTTTACCCGGAAGTTTTCATTTCTATTGATCTGTGCGCATACATATCAAAATACATGGACAGTTTTATTTTTACCCAATTTAGTGACATATTAACCAAAATATTGTCCATGTAAGGAGCAAAACAAGTTACAAAATGTAAAATAAATATATGATCATGATGATGGATGGTTATTTAATGTCCAGTGTCATTGCACACGGAGTTATTGCTTTCTCCACGAGTGAATTAATAATATGGGTGACATTTCTCTATTCCTCAGAATATTTGTCAGTTTTGAGATAATTTAATAAACTACGTCTTTGGCACAAGAGGTGCTATTTCTACCTCTTCTATTCCGTGTTATAAAAAGAAAATTTAATGAACTAGTGCCGATTGTTTATCGAGATACAAAATTTTAGAAAGAGACAAATGATTTAAAGATTCCAACAAGGAACCAGTTCTACCATTTGTAACTTCTCGACCCTTTTACTTCACTTACTTTTACGTTAATGTAAGTGAGCGAGAATGCCCGAGTAGTTACGTTACGATTGCTTTTTGATTGGTGCTCTATTTTAAGAACGAAAGTAGATTTCTTTAAATTACGCAAAAATAATTCCTCATTTAGGGTAAATAACGCACTTGACAGTAACTAATAGGATTGGGAATGCATAGTTTTAAAAATAATTGGGTTCTCCTTTGAATGAATTGGATTTTTAAAAGCTGAGAAGAACAATTGAACTGGGTTTTCTATTGCTTTAAATGCGTAATTACGCAAACACGCAACTTATCTGGAGCTCTGAAAAATTAAACAATATCATATAAAACATATAAGCTCTAAGGGGCAGTTCTATAAAACTGGTCCAAGTTGTCTTTGAAACTAATCTGATGGACCAAAACATAGTTTCAAACTGTCAGCACTGTCTCTGAAACTGATTAGAAGTGTCCTTAAATGGGCACGAGTAGTGGTTCAAACTGGTCAAGTTGTTTTTTCTTCTTCTTCAGATATACAGTATCAGCTTCATATGATTGATGATTATGAACTGTTGCATGTGCGGAGTATGTGATTAAATAATATTCAATTAATAGTTACACAACAAAAATTTTTGAATTTGTAGATAACATGATATAGTGATATTTACATGAAAAAAGCCAAAAAGTGATTAAGAAATATGTAAATTGATATTTATTAAGTTACTGTATGTTGTGGAGAACAGTTGGTGACATTTTGGTAAGTAATTTCCTCTTCAAAACAAACTTCTGTCAAAAGAAGTGATGCCATATATTCCTACAGAGTCTGTAAAAATGGGGAAATTGAAGATGAACAACATTTCTTATTACAATGTAATAGATTTACCTCAAAAAGAGAAATATTAAAAAATAAAATAAATGTTACCGTACTGTGACCTATAATGGTTTACTTTTATAAATTTTGACTTGGATGGAAAGTTGTCTCATTGGCACTCATACCACATCTTCTTATATCTATATATTTAAAATACAGCTTAACATTATCACTGATGAAAAAATATCTCTATTGGTTAACAATAGCTCAGCATTATTACTAAGACTGTCTTCCTCTTTCATATCAGAGTGTCTAAATATAAGGAATAGTGAACTAATATGATACATCAATATGTAACTTTTCATTCTATCATGATATGTTATTATCATGTAACTTTTAATTCTACCATTTCAATTAATATAATTATATATATGCAATAGGTCTTAACCAATAATTGTTAATGAGTTTTTGCCAATAAAAAATATTTGTATTTGTATATCTATGTAAATAATAATATGAAAAAGTGTGGACGAATCGACTCTGGCCGAGCTGGTACTGTTGCCGAAACACCTTGTGGTCGACATATCCAACTATCGCGGTCATCACGTGACTTTTACAATTCAGTTGTATATCATTAATGGCCGATTGATTATCAATGAAAATGAACGGGCAACATAGATTAAACAATCATAACTTTTTTGTTCCATTGTGTATTTTACCTTCCAACCCCGCGTTTTATAGTATTTTCATTTTTACAATTAAAAATGTTTTAAGTTTCAGTTCAGAAATATGATTTCTTGCTTCAAATTAAGTTTGAAAATGGAGGTGACATAACCACACAGCCTCCGTTGACTTCTTCGTTAAAACTCAATAAAATTGCAATGGGACCTTCTTATATGATCAATTTTCTCAACTTATTATTTGTTAATAATATCCTTCCAACCCCTAAAAAGATCGACAACTTATTCATTTAAATGAAATCGAAACACATATCAGTTTAGGTAACAAACTTTTTGCTTCAAAATTTGATTGAAAAGTTTACATTTTGGCATTCGTTAACAATATTTTGAAAATGGCGGCCGATGTCGGAAGTGAACAAAGACACGACATGTATTCATTTAGCAATTAATAAAAAAGTAATTTGTGAAATATTTATGAAAGTGTGTCTTATTGTTTTTAGAAATTTCTTATTTCACCTTAAATTTGATATATTTATTAGAAACAGTCTCTCGCACTCAAAACAAAGATTTATATGCATCAACCATGCATTGTTTACCTTGACCATGTTGACAGCGTAGGTCGACTTGTGAAAATATATATTGTAATATTTTTACGATGAAAATCAAAAAACTGTTGGATGCATGCGTTTTCAGTTTTTGTCTTACCTTAAAGCAGCATAGAATCAACTATTTTGTCTTTTTGATAAAGTGGATACATGCTTTTTGTTTTGATAAAATTTCGAAGTTACGAAAAAAAATGGCGACCAAACAATTTTCAAACGTAGACGATGTTCGACACTAATTTTGCCCATGCAAATAACACAATTTAATTTCACTGTTTATATTGCAATTAAATATGACACGTTATTGTCACTCAAATAATACCCAAGGACATAGCTTGATTAAGGAGATATTAAGTCATCAACATGATCAAAGAAAACAAACACGGCACCTAATCACGATGTAAGATCATGTAAGTTTTGACAAGCCTTATGTAGAATAGTATGGTCCGATTCTTATAGAAATTATTTTATGGTATTATTTTATATTAATAAAAAAAACCTCGAAACCCAGAGGTGAAATATATATATTTTTCAATTTTCTCAATCATTCATCACACGGGTCACCAGTAAATTTTTCATAATCCTAATTAAACCAGTTACATGCAGAGTTATCGAACGTAATTATGACTGGTATAGTTGCATATGAACTGGTTGTGTGGCCAAAACGTCTTGAAAGCAGGTATATGACATTAAGAATAAGAATAAGAAAACTTTATTTTGATTCGGCATGGTTTAAAACATACAAACATAAGCTCTTGAGAGCTTTTCACTGAATATATAAAATATACATAATTTTCAGGCATTTGTCAAATTTATAAAACATACCGGTTCGGAGAAATCTGGTTTGACATTGGTTAAAACGTAATAACATTTCTCTGGATATTCCCGCTCCTCTCTTGTACGAACAACAACTCTTCCGACACCATTATTTCTCAAATTTGCTGCCAACCAAAACAAAGTGTTCCCTCGAAAAAAGCTTTTTTTCCCAACAAATCTAACTGGCATGTTTAACCGGAAGTTTATCTGGTAAATTAAACATACGAACCAGGAACCAGGGAAAATTCTTAATGACTAAAAGGTAGATTTAATTTAAAATATAATTTTTGGGTGCTAAATTGTTGGAAGATTAGAGAAAGTGATTTATTAAAAAAATATATTGTGGCTAAAATATAAATATGTAATATATTCTATTTATTGATGGAGTATAGTAAATTCATTACTCCCAACTCGTGGCTTGTGGTATACAGTTTAAAAGGAGAAAGGAAATATTTTTACAAAACAAATAATTTTGATGTTCATAGTTCGAAGAAGTGAAAATTTATAGTAATACCAAACACTTATCAGATATAACCCTGAATAAGTAAACAGTAAATAACAAAAAAGCATTACAAATAGTATCAACAGGTCAAATTAACAAGAACGTACGATTTGAGAGTACTCGCAGTTGGGTCATTATAAAAAACATGCAAATTTCGATGAAGTAATATTTGGAAAAACGATGTCATTGTTTAAAACATTTAAATGTGTCCCTCTATTCTATAGTATGGTAGCAACTATTTTCAGAAATATGCAATGGGAAAAATGAAGGGTTCCTTCAATTTTAACAATTTTAGGTCATCCTTTGATAGAATCATGTCAATGGTGTTACCAATTTAAAACATGTATTTAGGTACTAAATATTATTGTTAAACATCAAACAATTGTTCCAATTTGTTGTTAAGGTTTAAATTAATACTTATTGACATTATTCCTCTAGCTATACATTATTTTTAAACATAAATTTCAGAATACATTGTCGTAAAAAAGTTGGCTGTCCTAATTATGGCTGTTGTAAATACTAAACTAGAGGCTCTAAAGAGCCTGTGTCGCTCACCTTGGTCTATGTGCATATCAAACAAAGGACACAGATGGATTCATGACAAGATTGTGTTTCGGTGATGGTGATGTGTTTGTAGATCTTACTTTACTGAACATTCTTGCTCCTTACTATTATCTCTATCTATAATGAACTTGGCCCAGTAGTTACAGTGGAAAATATTATGTAAAAATTTACAAAAATTTACAAAATTTATGAAAATTGTAAAAAATTGACTATAAAGGGCAATAACTCCTTAAAGGGACAATTGACAATTTTGATCATGTTGACTTATTTGTAGATCTTACTTTGCTGTACATTATTGCCGTTTACAGTTTATCTCTATCTATAATAATATTCAAGATAATAACCAAAAGCTGCCAAATTTTCTTAAAATTACCAATTCAGGGGCAGCAACCCAACAACGTGTTGCCTGATTGGTCTGAAAATTTCAGGGCAGATAGATGTTGACCTAATGAACAATTTTATCTCGTCAGATTTGCTCTAAATGCTTTGGTTTCAGAGATATGAGCCAAAAACTGCATTTACCCTATGTACTATTTTTTAGCCATGTCGGCCATCTTGGTTAGCAGGCCGGGTCAACGGACACATTTTTTTAAACTAGATACCCCAATGATGATTGTGGCCAAGTTTGGTAAAATTTGGCCAAGTAGTTTCAGAGGAGAAGATTTTTGTAAAAGATTACAAAAATTTACGAAAAATGGTTAAAAATTGACTATAAAGGGCAAGAACTCCTTAAGGGGTCAACTGACCATTTTGGTCAAGTTGACTTATTTGTAGATCTTACTTTGCTGAACATTATTGCTGTTTACAGTTTATCTCTATCTATAATAATATTCAAGATAATAACCAAAAACTGCAAAGTTTTCTTAAAATTACCAATTTAGTGACAGCAACCCAACAGCAGGTCCTCCGATTCATCTGAAAATTTCAGGGCAGATAGATCTTGACCTGATAAACAATTTTACCCATGTCAGATTTGCTCTAAATGCTTTGGTTTCAGAGATATACGCCAAAATCTACATTTTACCCCTATGTTCTATTTTTAGCCATGGCGGCCATCTTGGTTGGTTGACCGGATCACCGGACACATTTTTTTAAACAAGTTACCCCAATGATGATTGTGACCAAGTTTGGTTAAATTTGACCCAGTAGTTTCAGAGGAGAAGATTTTTGTAAAAGATTACAAAAATTTACGAAAAATGGTTAAAAATTGACTATAAAGGGCAAGAACTCCTTAAGGGGTCAACTGACCATTTTGGTCAAGTTGACTTATTTGTAGATCTTACTTTGCTGAACATTATTGCTGTTTACAGTTTATCTCTATCTATAATAATATTCAAGATAATAACCAAAAACTGCAAAGTTTTCTTAAAATTACCAATTTAGTGACAGCAACCCAACAGCAGGTCCTCCGATTCATCTGAAAATTTCGGGGCAGATAGATCTTGACCTGATAAACAATTTTACCCTATGTCAGATTTGCTCTCAATGCTTTGGTTTCAGAGATATACGCCAAAATCTACATTTTACCCCTATGTTCTATTTTTAGCCATGGCGGCCATCTTGGTTGGTTGACCGGATCACCGGACACATTTTTTTAAACAAGTTACCCCAATGATGATTGTGACCAAGTTTGGTTAAATTTGACCCAGTAGTTTCAGAGGAGAAGATTTTTGTAAAAGATTACAAAAATTTACGAAAAATGGTTAAAAATTGACTATAAAGGGCAAGAACTCCTTAAGGGGTCAACTGACCATTTTGGTCAAGTTGACTTATTTGTAGATCTTACTTTGCTGAACATTATTGCTGTTTACAGTTTATCTCTATCTATAATAATATTCAAGATAATAACCAAAAACTGCAAAGTTTTCTTAAAATTACCAATTTAGTGACAGCAACCCAACAGCAGGTCCTCCGATTCATCTGAAAATTTCGGGGCAGATAGATCTTGACCTGATAAACAATTTTACCCTATGTCAGATTTGCTCTCAATGCTTTGGTTTCAGAGATATACGCCAAAATCTACATTTTACCCCTATGTTCTATTTTTAGCCATGGCGGCCATCTTGGTTGGTTGACCGGATCACCGGACATTTTTTTAAACTAGATACCCCAATGATGATTGTGACCAAGTTTGGTTAAATTTGACCCAGTAGTTTCAGAGGAGAAGATTTTTGTAAAAGTTAACAGACGACGCCGGACGACGACGACGACGACGACGACGACGGACAACGGACGCAAAGTGATGAGAAAAGCTCACTTGGCCCTTCGGGCCAGGTGAGCTAAAAATACACTTAAATTGAATATATGTATAATGTATAAGATGAAATGATAAGAATATGCTTAATCCTTCGTATACAACCTAAAAACGCTTTCATTTATGAATAAAAATTAAAAAGTATCGCATTTTTATATAGTAACACCACTGACTCTTCAGTAACTCCAATGACACAAAAGTATCACCATTGACAACACATTTCAAATTTTACTTTTATTAAGTACTGAACACAAAACAGAGAACACTGAGCAAAAGAAAAAGAAGAAAAAATAATTCGTAGGCTTAAAAATCTCAAATTATATAACATAATATCAATAACTAAAAATGTCAGTCGTGTTACTAAATAGTGTCATTGGTGTTACCAGCATACACCAGTTTTTGAAAACTTTGTATATGTAATACATGATATTGTTAAAACATTGTTAAATAAGTATTGTTTGTTATAAATAATATGATGTTTCGCTTGTTAAACATGAAAGAAACACCAAAAAATGCTGATTGTCATAATATATTCAGTGGTGTTACTAAGCTGGTCAATGGTGTTATTTTATTAAAATGGTCTCACCATTGACAGTAACACCATTGATTTTCAGGTGTATTTTAAGGTTTAGTTACAAAATAAGGGCTCCATTCCTCTATTTTATATGGTGTTCCTGGTGCATGTTTCTACAATCAATATATTTCATAATTCAAAGTTCAGGAATTTAAAAAAAAAATTTTTTATAAGGGTACACCATGGACACTATTTTCAATTACGATATAGCTTGTACTTACTTTTAATATTTTTTTACTAAATTTTCAACATAAATGTTTGTTTTCTTTTGCATAACATGCTTACAGGTAACATTGATAAGGGAGAAACTATTGTAAATGCTGAAATATTGAGAAAGATAACTCTTACCCTACCAATTTGTCTTTTGGTTACACCATTGACTTAAAAAATGAGACTTTTCCTTTTGGTTAAATTTTTTATTATAAAACCAACATACACCTTCCAAATCATTAAAAAAATGTTTGTATGTATCAAATGCAATAAAAAGTGATAATTTCTAATAACAAATGAAATGAATTATAGCCCTATTTCAGGTCTGAAGGGATTTATAGTAAAAAATAACAGTTGATTCTGGCTATATCCAAGGGTTTGAGAAAAAATTAAGAATGTTTTTATAACATTTCATACTGTAAACTGTGTATAGTGTATCACAAAACATTCATATCTTTCATATGCAATAGTTATTTTGATACATTTTGATATAGTTTCATGTCTTTTGACTTGAAAAGACCAAATAACATAGTTTTGCATGTTTTTTTTTGATAATGACCCAGTTACTGACAGCTAGTTAAAAGCCAAAAACAATTTATAATAAAAAAATCATGCATCAGAGACTAAAATCAACTAATACACATCCCAGGGATTTAGTATTTTAACGTCGTGGAACTGTCAAAGAAGACATGACTTGTGCAATGCCAAAAATAAATGTATCGACAGGCAGTAGGATAGTTAGGAGTTAACCTCTTAATAGATAAAAATGAACGTGAGTGTGTCTTTATACATCCCGTTTGAAAAGAATGCAAATTTAGTTATGTTTTAATTTGGTGATGACAAAATCGATATTAGTGCCAATGTATAACGTTTTGCTGTAGCGACCATGTTCTAATGTGTAGTTGCAAAGATTTATACTTTGGTCCGCACATGCAGAGGAAGTCACTTTTAAAAAATTTTGAAAGCATATTTTTAAATCCTTTGCACACTGTTACACAGATATCATGTGGTGCTCCAGATAGTAAATGAATTTATTGCCAAGAAAGAAAGAAATATGGCTTATTTACTATTGTATCTGTATATGTTCTGTCAATAGAGGTTCACCTTCAGTTCGAAGTATAAAATATCAAATCGACAATAGAATAATAAAAGTCTGTACACTATACAAGTGTGTCAATATATCCATTCACTAGTATAACACATATAAAGTCTTACTTATAAAATCTAAAGCAATTTTGAAATGATAATAGTTCCACAGTCGAAACACAACAACTACTTGGCTGAATTTGTCCTTCTCGAGTTTTTTGTCCCGTGTTTAAGAGCTTTTATTTTGCATATGTAGTATGGTTCTACACAGTTAATCATGATAAAGCTACACACATCACTTGTTTGAGTGTACAGTTGTTGAGCTCGGAAAATTTAAAAAAAAAAATGTAACCTTTGTAAATTTCTTTTCCATGCATAAAACATAAAACAAACTTGTTAGTATCCAATACATAATATCGGTCATTATTCTTCTCTTATGTATTCATTTATCGATAATGTATTATGTATTAATTGATCAGTATAAAGTATAAAGTATAAATTATAAAGTTCACAAGGTGGTTCTATGGATTTATTATCGCAACGTTAAATAGCACTAACATTCTAAGCCACTGCTTACGTTATTAAGTTCAGAAGATTTACTCTTTCAGATTCTAATGCAGTACATGAGATCAGGAAGTGTGCTGTAGTTTCGTCCTCCTTGCTTCAGATTTTACAGGTATCAGGTACATCATTTTTGTTGAATTTAGACCTATTTTATCGTAGTATGTAATTTCCTGTAGCTTTTTTTAGTCATGATAGGTATTCTGTTGATGTCTCTACAGTTTGAGGTATTTATTGTGAGCATTGGATATATAACTTTGATCTTATATGCACCCGATTTGTGTTGTAAACTTGAATAACCCTCAGAACTGTTACTTATCTTTTCAAGCCAATATGTAAACACTCAAGTTTCCTGTGATTATAAATTTCTCATTTGTTTGGAAATTTTCCCAGAGGATATTTTAAGAATTCCTGGCAGTTAATCAAGTCATATTCAGTCAGGTATATTTTTTTTACTTCTATGAACCAGCTTTAAATTTGATATGATTTTAATTGTAGCTGTCTTTCTGCCTATCTCTATTAAATTGATGTTTTTTTGTGTTGGCTCTAGAGATGTTTCCGAAAAGTGTTATAGCTTTTAAAGTGTATTTCAGCTTCTATTGGTAGCATTCCACTTGGTAAGTATAAGACCGGGTCAGCTGTTTGTTAAGACAATGAAAGTGTTTATCATTTTCGTAAGGTATAAGTGAATAGTGTTCAAAATGTGGCCTGTTTGGGAGTATCTTTTCTATCACTAAAGGTAAGAACCATCGACTCGGGCTTTAATTTTAATTATTAGCAACGGAAATCAGATTACCATTGTGTAGATTTTTGTGTGTGATATATATATATGAGGACCAGTCACATTAACTGATGAATTAATTGATTAAATGACTAAATGATATAATTTGCTCTATATGGACATTAATGTCACTATGATATTTTTGCTTTTTATAGCAAGATAAATAAGGTGTGTCAAATAAGCCAAAATAAAATCCTTATGGTATTAAAATATATTCTTTCTTATCTAAATCTGAACTTATCACGAGTTTATGTGTCTTAAATTAACAAGTAAAACCTGTGTTATACCAATGTCCCACAAACATGTTTAACCCCGCCACATTCTGTATGTGCCTGTCCCAAGTCAGGAGCCCGTAATTAGGTGGTTGTCATTGGTTCATGTCTGTAAATATTTGTTTTTCGTAAATTGTATTGGTATATATAAGGTCGTTAGTTATCTCGTTTGAACATGCTGTTTCAAATTTTTGATGTCGGGGCCTTTTATAGCCGACTATACGCTATGTGTTTTCTCAATATTGAAGGCCGTAAGGTGACCCATGATTGCTAATTTCCACTTCATTTGAACTCTGGTGGATACTTTTCACATTGGCAATCAAACCACATCTTTTTAATTTGTTTTTATCATTACTGTCATGAAGAGTATGGTGTTTAATTTTGTAATTTTTAAATTCTATTAAAACAAATTTGTGTTATTAAGAAAGCTTAGATATTGGTTTGTATGAAAACTGTAAGCTTGCCAAAATCAAGGATGTTATGTATAAAGCGATGATGTCATGTGACGTGCTCAAAAAAAGAAAAGAAAAAAAAAGGCAGTTTTCTTACCTTAATCGGATACAACATTTGACTGAAGATAACATCAGTATGTAGTAATTAACGCGACGCTTCCGTTATTGCATAACATGTGACAGTAACTGGTCATTGACCAGATGACCAGTACAGATTTGAGAAAAAAGGTAATCCTTTAATAATTGAAAACATATTTAAAATGTTTTTCTTCATTTTTTTCACATTTTTAACAAATGGTACAATTACTTCAGGTCCTTTCAGCTTTTCAAATGCCATGTTCAAGTTCAAGTTCAGTTTCTGTGATCATAGCAGATCTTTGATGAATACTGTTGAATTTATTTCTCTACTTGTAAAGACTCGGATCGATCATTAAGCTTAAAATATCACATATATATACATATATTTGTCTTTTGTTGAAGACTGTACACCTCCTTCGAGATGTCTTTTTTATAAATTTTGACGTCTCTCTCTCTCTCTCTCTCTCTCTCTCTCTCTCTCTCTCTCTCTCTCTCTCCAGGGGCGGAGCCAGGATTTTAGGTTAGGGGGCTCAAACTTAAATTTTCGCCGAGCGGAGCGAGAAGAACAATTTTTTTAGGTAAAATTATCGAAATATTCTTTATTAAGCTGAATCCGCCCCTGCTCTCTCTCTCTCTCTCTCTCTCTCTCTCTCTCTCTCTCTCTCTCTCTCTCTCTCGGAGGTCATGCTATTCCCAGCTCAGGTCTTGATTGACCTTGGTTTGTCTTCTTAATCGATTTATGAGACTTAAACAGCGATGATTTTTAGTTCTTATATTCCCTTGATTTAATACAACGGGATGTTATTACGACATTGACATTAAACAAATAGTTTATTATACAACTGCCAAAATAAGACCAGATGTTCAGACATCTATGGCCTTTGAACTGTAGAACGTTGTTTACATCCTCGTTCATTGCTCTTTATGGTGCATATCTCATTTGCTCTCATACCACACGTTTCCCCATTTTCGTCTATATATTTCCATGTAAGTGAATACAGATGTGTCGTAAATGTGATCACAGAATCTCAGACCAAGGTCACAACAAGGGTCCGTAAATAATTGTAACAGCCCTAGGAATGAATAAGCAAAAGGTCATATCATTATTTTTAATAATGTTCAGGTTCTGAAACCGATAGACGACTTTCAACATGTAGATTGATACTGTACTTTATTTTCCCAGCTCTTTCATCTTCCTTTGATCGTTTTCTGTTTTGTCATGTTCATTTTTATTTTGTTGCGAATTCAACATTACTGATAAAGAGTCTATTGCACCATTGATTGATAGTCTATTCTTGCGTTTTGTTTTGTTGCTGCAAATGTTGTCACCCTCATCAGGTAGTTGGTTTGATGATATATTTGTGCCGTTGCCTTCGTCTGGTAGTTTGCTTGGTGGTTTATTCGTTATGTTGCCCTCATCAGGTAGTTTGTTTGGTGATGTATTCGAGCTGCTGCCTTCTTCCGGTAGTTTGTTTGGTAAATTATTCATGATTATTGAGTTAAAGAACTTTTGATCTCGAGACAGGATGTTAGCTAGATGAACAGTTATATAAATACTCTGGGATTCTCTTACATTTTGTAAAATAAAGGCTAATCCTCTACATTTAAAAAATGTACAGTAAGTAAAAAGAATGGTCGATAAATATAGTTTACAGCTTCTCATTTTCACTTGTTGTCGTTTTAAAAATCTGAAACAGATATAATTACAACTATACTATTAGATACCGATATGCAAGTTTGTTTTTGGAGAAACCTTTATTTTCGAGTATGTAACATGAAGATAACGATTCTTTAAATTTGAACTTAAGTCAGTACAATTCGAAGTTTCTACTGTCCAATTAAGATATAGATATGTGATATCGCTATGCTTATATGTCTTATGAAAAGTCAACATTGCCTTAACCGACTTCAAAAACTTTTGTGCGGTGTTCATATCTGTACAAGTAAATGTTTGTTAGACTAACAAAAACGTGTTAAGGTACACGTAGATCGAGGGTCCTCCGCTATCTTTGATTGTAAAATAGCAGAAAACACTCGGTCTATTTCTACAATGAGATATATATGCAAAATTTGAAACAGGAGTGTAATTCATTTGTAAGACTTTCCTTTAAATGATTAAAACTATGTGATATATCTTATTATTCACGTGACGACGGTTTTTACAAAGACAAATTAGTTTTATTTGATCTAAAAATAATTACTTAGCCATATTAGGGGAGGTAACTTAGATAGTGTAATTTAATTCAGGAATGTAAAATGTATTGAACATTCCTTTATAAAACACACTATCTCAATTATCTTCCCTTTTATGATTAAGACTGAATTAAACAAAAAATGTTCTGTAAATGTATTATTATAAAACAGTCGCAACGATAAGATTAAACACACATTTTTCTTCATTCACATGAATAGTCTTACAAATAATTTGCACTCCTCTTTCAAAATTTGCATAGTCCATAAAAGATCTAGACCGATATTTTTTTGCTATTTTCCAATTCAAGATGGCATAATACACTCGATCAACCGTAAATAGATGAAGCTATTGTGTTTAGATGATTTAGATATTCATGGTATGAAAAAGGTTATGTATTTATCTTTCTAAATTTGTAATGTACCTGACGAAGAAGGTATTAACACAGAAACACAGATTCTTATTACATGTTTATTTTATGCGAGCAAAACGTACACATTTGATTAAAAGCAAACAACATAAATCATTACTTACATATGTACGTTTTCGTGAACTGACTCGTTTTAACTGTTTATTTAGTGTAATTAAAAGGCTGATACAAAGTTAATATTCATTTATCATTCATCAGGATTGCAAGCTGTTGTTTATATTTGTATTAAATCGGTTCGTTATTTGATTTACATGATGTTATCGATGTCACAGTGCTATCGTATGCCCCGAGTGATCACTATCCCATTAGCTGCACTGTAAACAGATTTACTAAGCTTATCAAGGATAAATCTGGTTCACATTTACAGAAACTTCAATACATTTAATGAAGAAATGTTCTTAAATGATTTGTCTAAACACCATTTGATGTTATACATGAAATAAGTGACCCAAATGAAGCAATTGTCTTATTGTTAATGTTTTAGATAATTACTAGTATGCCCCTGTTGTAACCAAAGGGGTAAAAATAAATATCAACCAGAGTGGTATACAGATGAAATATCTTAATCAGCTTACCAGAGAGATTATTATCATAAAAAGAAAGATACGGGATAATTATAAGAAATATCGGAACCTAACAAATAAACTGATTCGTTCCTCAAAGTCTAAGTATTTTATGGATGCCATCAATAATGATAAAAACTGTAAAACTCTGTGGAGACATTTAAAAGATCTTAACTCTACAACGAATCATGATATTGCTATGATAACATACGAAGATAAGAATCTTACGGATAAAATTGACATTGTAAACTGCATAAATGATCGCTTTAGTTCAGTGGGAGAAAAATTTATTCCAAATCCCCATTCTAACTTTGAATCAGAGAAAATAAACAATTATGTGAAATCCAAAATTAATGATAACACATTGTTTTCACTGTATACTGTCACAAATGATGATGTCTTTAAATATCTCACAAATCTACAATAAGTGTCTGACTCCGACCCGAGTCCGACTACGAGTCATAGTAAGACAGTTTAAATGACGGGGGCAAACAATAAAAATATTGTAAACATTGTGCTTTAATCATTATAATACTAATTGAAAAGTTGTTTTCGGCGATCTACAAAACTCCCACATATTTCAATAATAGCTTTTAGTTTGTGACGAGGATGCCTCAAAAGACTTTCCCATGACTTTATAGCATTTCAACTCGCCAATAACATGTTCAACGAAAACTCGGTATTCTGTTATAATTAAGTCTGTTTAACTTTCTACACTTTCTCTTAAAATGTTCCGGCTTTCTGGTTCTCTGCTGTCTGGAGGAGGTTTCAGAATTCAGACTAGTAGAATCATGATCAATTGTTTGATGAATGTGATTTCGTCCGGAGGAAACTTCAAAATGACAGTCAACGTGCCAAGGAATAGACGACGTTGATCATCGTCCATGTCCTGTAAGTACACAAAATACATAAATAAACGTAGATGCATATCAATGTGTCTCCATCCCCCTTTCTTCCGAACTTGAATATAAAATAGCCCTACAGTGTATAGTTGTATGCGGATAGCTGTTATTCTTCCAAAAAATGAAGATTTAATAAAACACCATCACATCTTTGTGTCATTTTGTGTGTGTGTGTGGGGGGGGGGGGGGGGGGGGGGGGGGGGGGAATCCTTACTCTTAGTTGAAAATAGTTTCTGAAATACTTTTTTTTAGATTCATTATGAAATTACGGCCTAAGCAATAAGCTCCAAAACTGGGGATTGACGTCGTTTTCAAAAATAATTTTCTTACTCCGAAATAGAATCCTCGTTTATAAGAAAAGAACGGGGGAAGGGAGGAATCTTTCTTTCAACGGGGAAAGGGGGAATCATACTCTCTCTCTCTCTCTCTCTCTCTCTCTCTCTCTCTCTCTCTCTCTCAACAGGGGAAAGGTGGAATCATACTCTCTCTCTCTCTCTCTCTCTCAACGGGGGAAAGGTGGAATCATACTCTCTCTCTCTCTCTCTCTTTCTCTCTCTCTCTCTCTCTCTCTATCTCTCTCTCTCTCTCTCTCTCGTTCAAAAACGATGGGTGTGTATGATATATTAATTAAAGAAAATAAGGAATGTATATTTTGGTTGAATCATTTAACTTGAAAACGTTTTTTTTTTCCTTCTCAATAGTATATAGAACATACACCGATATAAGTGATCAGATAACACGAGCACAAGATTGTTGTGGAAGTATTGGAATTCTGAAAAAAAATCTGTCAGAAAGAGTGAATGAAAAAGCGCTTTCTTCAACCCTTCAGTAAAAAAAATCAATTTGATGAATGGTTTTGTCCTATCACATTGCAACGCAAAGATTTAACACGGTAAAATTGATTAGTGTACAAATTATTTTGAGATCACCCCTATAGCTTACCTGTATGATTTGTAGTCGTACTCGTACTCGGACTCGGAGTCGGACAGTTATTGTAAATCTGGGCGTATGACATTTGCGCCGATTTTCAAAATTTTCATTCTTTCATTTGCGCCGATTTCATTTTTTCATTTGCGCCGATTTTATATTTGCTCCTAATTGCATTTACAGTTTAACACAGGTGAGTAAATATTTGTACATGTACTATACCTTGAATGTATATTGGTAAAATCTGGTTATAAACGTTGTTCACTTATGCTTAAGTTAAGAAAATCCAGGCCGTTACGTATGTTAAAATGCGAACTCTAGTAATGCCCGCATCAGTACGTTAGCCAGAGAAAGAAAAGATGGACTTCGTTATTGACAATTACGACAAATATAGAGACGAAATCACAAGAAAGGAATATATTAGATGTGTTGCCTATAAATACTCGGCAAGAACAGATTTATGATTTTAATGTATTCCGTTTTTATGGATTTTAATGTTGTAAATAGATTTTTAATTCGTCATTTTAGTATAAACAGAGTAAAAACAGAGTGCTTTTATCTTAGGTTTTACTTCTTGATTTTAAAGTATGTGAACATAGTGCTTTTACATTTACTTATCCTGCTCAAAATCCCACTTCCACCTCCCCGTGGTGAGCAGAGGACAACAGTTATATACATGTCATGATTGACAATTCATAACATTTCTACAACTGGCGAACGGAAGAGGTTTATAATGATAAATGAAAAATAACATTCACCTGTAATTTACCTGTAAAAAAAATCGGCGCAAATGAAAAAAAAAATCGGCGCCAATGAAAGAAAAAATCGGAGCAAATGAAATGCAGATCGGCGCAAATGCAAAACGCCGGTAAATCTCTATTAATAAATCGACCGGGACCGATGGAGTTGGCCCAAGAATATTAAAAGTATCAAAATCAATAATTGTAGATTCTCTTACTCATATTATAAACCTTAGTTTATGTACAGGTATATTTCCTGATATTCTAAAGTATGCAAAAGTAACTCCAATTTTCAAAGCCGGTAATAAGGATGATCGTAACAATTATCGTCCTATCTCAATTTTCCTACAGTGTCCAAGATTTTTGAGAGGACTGTGTTTAAACAATTATATTCATTAGTAACTAAATACAAACTACTAGTACAACAACAATATGGATTTAGAGAATAACACTCATGCCACACAGCACTTATCAAAATGATTGACAAATGGTTAGAAGAATTTGACAAAGGCAGTTTCACTGCTGTTTTATTTCTAGATTTTAAAAAAGCATTTGATACCGTTAACAATAATATCTTATTATCGTAACTTTATTTATATAAATGTGATGATCACTCTGTTAAGTGGTTTTTTTCTTACCTCTCAAATAGATTGCAAAAGGTTAAAATTGGAACAATTGAATCAGGATACAATAATGTAAAATTCGGGGTCCCAAAAGGTTCCATATGAGGACCTTTATTATTCATAATCTATATAACTGATCTCCCGTTTACATTAAAACACATAGAGTCTGAATTATATGCTCTTGTTTAAATAAAGACTTTGAAAACGTAATTGAATGGTGTGCTGAAAACAATATGATAATAAATAACAGGAAGTCCAAATGTATGCTTATGGGATCTGAGAAAAAACATTGAGAATTGTAATTATGTCTTGTGTGTATTATCGCAAAATCAAACTTCATTTGACAATGTGGAAGTAGAAAAACTTCTTGGTATCCATATTGATAAAAATCTATCATGGTATGGCATGGTATTGGTTGCAAAAATTTGATATTTTTCATTTAAATGCAATATTTCTTATTTAATTGGTATATTTCTTCATTTAAATGCAATATTTTTTTATTTGAATGGTATATTTTTTCATTTAAATGCAATATTTTTTATTCAGATGGTATAATTTTTTATTCAGATGGTATAATTTTTTCATTCAAATGGTATAATTTTTCATTCAGATGGTATAATTTTTCATTCAAATGGTATAATTTTTCATTCAAATGGTATAATTTTGCATTCAATTGGTATAATTTTCGTTCAAATGCAATATTTTTTTATTCAGATGGTATAATTTTTCATTCAAATGGTATAATTTTCGTTCAAATGCAATATTTTTTATTCAGATGGTATAATTTTTCATTCAGATGGTATAATTTTTCATTCAAATGGTATAATTTTTCATTCAAATGGTATAATTTTCGTTCAAATGCAATATTTTTTATTCAATTGGTATAAAATGTCATTTGAATGCAATATTTTTTATTCAATTGGTATAGTAGTTTTTTATTTATATGCAATAATTGCATTATGGGAAATTCTTTGACGTCATAAGGTCAAATTTGCAACAACGTTTGTGATTGGTCGGTAATTGTTCGGATTTCTCCCCTTTCTTTCTAAACTTGAGTGACCAAGAATTAAAAAACGCGTCAGAATATCGCCCCTCTAACTAAGTTTGACGCTCGATCGTGCGAGTTCGTGCACTGGCTGTTAATGCCAATAATGGCCAGGACGAGCAAAAAATGCGAGTGACAAGTAATAATAATTAATTTGACACACAACTTGTTCATGGATAGAAACAGATGCCTGCGTGCATGGCAAAAACACCTCAAATGAAAACCTTTTCTGAAGAAACTCTCCTACAGTCTACACATTGAAATAAAAAAAAAAATACATAGCTAGCCCCCCTCCCCCTTCTAAGTCCAGATACATGTAATCATGACGTTCTTTAGTGCTATATCATTTTTTACTTTTCTTGATCCTCAGAGACGTTGCAGGAAGGCACACATGAAAA